TTCCCTTCCTGAAATCTAGATCTCAAGCTACATGTTTAGTCCAATGTGTAATAAAAAAGAACATACAGCTGTTTGTGTTTCCAGTTTAATACAAAGGGCTCTTGTGCCCTAACTCTAAGTGTGTAGCTAAGTGGTACAGGAACTGTTCATTATCCTCACTTTCGCATCAGCTAAAATCCTGCAGATAAAAGAGGGACAAGGTCAGATATTCTTTTGCAGCAGTTGGCTGAAGTTCTAGAGTGCTAGATGGAACAGACAGTGAGTGTCTGAAATGGCCAAAAAGGTGACTGCAGCAGCAGGACATTCAGAAGACTCCTAAGCTCAGAAGCAAAACCAACACGCCAGGTGCCAATCATTAATTTCCCACACACATGCTCCCCAAGATCTAACAGCTCCACAGAGTTCACTGATGTAGGATGCCCGAGTGTAACATTACACCAAAAAGTCCAGAATGTCCTTCCAGTTTGAAATTTGGAAAGGGTAGGATTTAAGATTTAAGTGTCACTCACCCAGCACACACAAGTTCTCTTCATTTAAAATAAGTCTTAAGAGCTTTAGTTCCAACCAAATTATAGTAGTTTCAAAGCACTTTTAGCACTTTCACTGCAAGGAAAAAGTTCCAGAAGAGCAATTTCAGGTCTCAGGACATCTAATTGATTTTTATTGGACACTACGATGAATTCCACTCAAGCCTGGTTTGACAGGTGACTGTTTACACCAGGAAGATGTTTCATTAATTGAAAGAATACACTCACATCCCTCTTATGACAAAGTCAGTTACCACAGATTGGTTTATAAAACAGTTACAGGATTTATTGAGATAAATACAAGTAGAAAGTTACATAGATCTCTGTTCTGACAAACAAATGACACTTCCAGAGTGTCCCCACTTAACTGGGTTCTAAACAACACTGTGTACAGACAGAACTGCCACTAGGGCAGAATCCCGACCGATGCCAAGTGTATGCCACACACACGAGACCAGCGCGCCTGAATTCTAAGCAACATGACCAACATGCTTTGGATTACAAGTGCTTGACCATCCTAGAGCATCCAAGCAATATTGCACCCACCAACATTATTTTCATGTTCCTTAGCTAGAAATGTTTCAGTTATATTCTTACTCCTGGTGTGAAAGTGGATCAACTACCTAACTTTGCATCATCTGGCTTTTAAAATACATATTTTTGCATAAGTTAAACCCAGAGAACTGCATGTGAACACACTGCTTTGCTTATCATTGCATACATTTGTCTAGTACAAGACATAAAGTGCAGTCTCTAGTCATGCTGAAATAATTTCTAGTGTAAAACTGAACCAAAAAGACAAACCTTGTAGAGGGTAAATCTGTTGAATAAATCTGCACATTGTCTAAATAAAAAAATCCCACCCCACACTATTATGTCCTCTATTAGTGCATGCGACTGGAAAGTTTTAACAGAAGTCCTTAAATGCTCTACTGAAATCATATCATTTGAAGTAGACATAATTTCTGGAGCCAGAGAGGTGACAAAACACTGTTAAAAAAATCCAAGTTTGTTCAGCCTTTCAGTGAACTTTTACAGCTAGTGGCTTACTGTATCCTAATTAAATACTCTAAGTGAACAGTAACCAAACACACTAAAACAAACGGTATTTTTTGTTTTCCGGTAGATTATTGCAAGTAAAGGTAACTAAGATTATCTGACAAACACAAACATGGGTTGGGTTAACATTGAAGGTATTTAATTTATATACAACACATTTCAAACATACTTACATATACACATAATTAAAAAAATTGTTCAGTGCTGAGCAATTTAATGAACTAATAATAAAAAACAGAAATAAAACTTCATCAGAAAGGCCTTAGAAAATTTGAACCATTAGAAAATACCAGTATAATGCCAGCATTAGAAAAGTTATTAGAACTAGAAAAAATTAATTTGAGAAGTCTTTTTCTTAAGAAATTGCAACTGTAAAAAACTGTACTGAAGAAGCATTTGTTTTAAATTATAAAAAAAATTGTAAAAAATGAAATGTAGAATACTGCACAGTTTATAGAGTTTATACTGTTTGCTGTGACAGCAGTGATAACAGTGGTGTATTTCTGCCTGCAACTTCCAAAAAGCATTTTGTGATCTCACAAGGAAACCATTTGTTACAAATACTGTACATATTATAATACAGGACTTGTTAAACAAACTTATACAAAACTAAGCCCTCCAAAAATACAAATCCCAGCTGAGGAACCTACTTGTTGTATTGCAGACAAGCCTGATTCAAAACAAAACAAAACAGAGTGATTTCTGGAAAAACCTTCACCCAGGTGAACTACTTAATAGAACAACAGTGAAATAAGGGGAAATATTAACACTGACCTATTTATCTTAAAGTATTGGGTTCCAAGAGAGAAAGTAACTGTTATTATATGAAACAGTTTTTTCAGTATTTCAGCATCAGCTTTTGAACAATCCACAATCTCAAGACAACTATTTCTGTTCCAGGCCCTACATTACCTGCAGGTTTGAGACACACCAAAGAAAAAACTTCCTGATTTTTCAAATTGTTCAAAATCTGTCTAATTTTATGAACAGAACTTTGTTCTAGCTGTATATTCCATACTTCTTTCTTCTGTGCACTTAAACAAGTATTTTTGGAAGACATCCTACTTAAACTTAAGGATTTCAGTAACCTTCATTTGCTGTTTGCCCCAAACCTTACTCTACAATCAACAGAAGTTAGAGAGTAAACTGCACCAACACCTTTCCCCCATGAGTTTTTTCTGACTTCAGAGCTCCTTTGTTTCTTAGGAATAAAGTAGCAAGCTCTTTTGGATTTGAACACTGGACCAGTTAAAAGGTGTTTTTCAAACAATGCATGTATGTAAAAAGTACAAACAAAAAACGTAAGTCTGTAAAATTCTGTAATAGCCTTCTAGATACCTCACATGTCACAGGAACTGAATCCCTTAGAAGTGAACTTTGCTAGAGCAGACAAGTCATATTCAGTTTCAGAAATTAACAGCCTATCTACCTGAGCCAGCAGTCACAAAAAAGACATGTTAGCACCTGTAGCTCAGAAATAGCAAATTAATAGAAAAGTCACAATATACAAAGGAGCAAGCTCTCTCTGTGCTTTGAAAAATATCACATTATATTAAGTAAAAATGAACCATGCCTTAATTCTCGCAGAGTAGCTACTTCATAAAATGAAATTGGTTTTGAGCTTTTTTCCACTGATACAGAATTAAGTTCTTCATCATATTTGTTAATTCAAAACTATTCACATATATACATTTTTTTTCAGCTGAAATGCAACACTTGAAACAATACAAAAACTACAATAAAAATGAGGAAATAATATCTTCATGTAAGTCTGTTATAATCAAGTTTTAAGATGCAGAAACCATTTAAAGTTTGTAGCAGACTCCTCTACTACTGAAAATGTTTTGTTAAAAAATGAAATGTAAATTGCAACTACACTGGAACACTGAGTATGGCGTAAGACTTTGCATACAATACTTAACTGCAGGCAAGATCAGAGCTATCCCCCTCATTTACAGAGGTAAAAACAAAGCAGTTATTCACACATCAGACATATGGCTGTAGACAAGAGATGCTCATGAAATGAACATTGCAACCCTTTCCAGCTTAAGTAGGTAGCAAAAACCTTCTTATTTGTGCATAGACAACACAACTACAAACATAAGGTGAAAAACCATTTTGATGTTCAGCATTCACTGCAGAACACATTAGTTTTGTTTTTCAATGGCAGTATTGTCCAGGTTACCCTGTTTTAGTTTTATGGTGGCAAAGAAGGACACATCTTGATCTCTGTCAGATTGTAGGGCTAGAATGGTCTCTTCTGCAGCTTCTAGATGAGGATTGCCAACACTTTTAAAATAAGCTAGAATAAGGGGAGAAAAAGACAAATTTAATCAAACCCAAAAGAATAAATCCTAGGCCAGAAGTAGAGCAAAAATACAGAGGATGCCAAAAACACTTGGGCTATCTCACCCAATTTTTAGGCTCCTTAGAGAAACTACAGCAAGCTAAGAAAGCTGACAGAGAACACACTACTGCTTACTCATTCTATTAGGTGCTGAAGTATTTCTAAGGGATTTTTTTTTTCTGAACCTTAAATAGAAATGTATCAACAAGTAAGAGCAAGCTCAGGAAGCTGCTGGGAACAACGCGTGGCTGTCCTGCCCTGCCCTCTAGCGCTGAGGACCTCCATCTGTCACAGGAGCGCCACCAGCTTCAGGCCCTTCGGACAGGGCTATCGAATACATTCCAAGACAGAAGAGTCACTACAGTACACATTCCTAAATCCGAATTTAAATGCAGTATCCCAGGTTACACTGTACAGTTCTGTTTTCAGTAGAAACAGAACCAAAGTGCAATTTATAAAGAACTGCACCGGCAGAGGAAAGAGCATTTGTCACCAGTTAGTTCCTTTGAAGGAAATTAATGACCACACCTTTCTCCAGCAACGTCTGCCTCAGAGCCTTGGCGAGCAGAACCCTCACGTTTGGCACAGGATCTGAAGAAAGGCTTAGAAGACTGGGGAGCAAGTGTTCAACAAACTGGTCGACAGGCATACATTCTTCTTCTACTACAGCCTACAGGATAAACACATTAGACGAGAAAGCAAAATTTATGTTACAAATACACCATTTCCCACTTGTTTCCATGTTGCCCTTAATTTAGCCTATTAAAAAAGCCCCTGTTTGACTCTAAATGAATACACCCTATGTTGGTGAAGTAAGTACAACCTTTGAAATACTGTTAGGAAAACATGCCTTGCCATTCTAAAGCTATCTGAAGATGACCCAACATGAACAGGTAACTTTCAACTATATTTTAAAAAAACACTGTCATCACCCTTTTCCCTTTCAACATTCAAGCCTTGCTCCTTCTAGTCAAGTAAGCATTTTTGTTTTGGAGGCAGGCAGGTCAGTGGAAATAGAGGGAAACGGTTCCTGGCATCTAGCACTCATTGGCAGCTTGATTAGCTCTTGTGAATCTATATCCTTGCACGTCAAAGTATCACAAAACACACCTTAGTTTAGGACTCAATTCTTAACTTTGCTACTGGGATATCAGAGAGCACAAGGATCAGCTATATTTCAGCTGGAGGCACAGAACAAAACAAGGACCACAGCTTCCAAACTGGATACACCATTTGCTACTACTGAGACCAGGCCACTGCTTTTGGTTGACCCACAGAATCACAGAACCCAAGGAATGACAAAAAAATGCTACCGAGTCCAAATTTCAGTTTTGCCCATACTGTTAAAAAGCCTCACACTGGCTTAAAATCAAACATTCCAAACTAGATAGAAACACAGACTGAACATTCCAACCTGACAAATGAAGGCAAAAGCCTGTCTTCCAACCCACTTGGAGCAGTGACGGAATCGCACTACAAGTTCATTAATGAAATTTAATCCCAGTGCATTTGCATTGTTTGTGTAGAACTTCTGTAGTATTGCTACAACCTGTGAAGCAGAGGAAGGGGGAAGAGGAAAAGGAAGGGAAAAAGAAATGAGAGTTTAGAAAGTGAAAAAGGCATCATTTCAATTGAATCCTACGAAGGGACACCAAAAACTGTACTCAGTGTAACCAGCTGTGCTTGCAGAATTTAGTAAGTTACTGTGCTTATTCTGGGGAAAAGAAACATAACCTTTAAAATAGCTGTTTGTTCAGGTGAAACAAAAAACGCTAAAAAGAATTCAAACCACCATTAAAATAATGCCAAGAAGAAAAAGAAAAAATAAAGAAAACTTTCTACTCATTCAGGACATCTACAGGATGATGGCAATACCATTAAGTTCATAACAAATTAATTCAAATTTGAGGAAATATCAGTAACTTTTTTCCCTCCCAGAACAAGGTCTCCCTGATCTGCTATACCCTAGTTTTCACGCACTTGAAGATACATTTATCATTCCCATGCAACTAACAAGAGAAACATTTTAGTATCTGTGGAAGTCTGACCACTTAAAATATTTTATAAATTTTCATTTAACATTTTCCATATTGTTTATCACATTTATCAAAATATGTCTCTATTCACACTACTTGTCTGAAAGAAAGCAAGGTGATTTAGTGTTTCCCTCTCAAGAATAATTTTTCTCCTTTTCTGCCAGGAAGTAAATCCCCTACCAGTTTGAAGGAGATCCATCGAACTTCTGAAACTTTATCAGAGCAGAGAGTTAGTGCAATGTGTCTTAAGTAGTCGTAGACATCATTGGGATTGTAGAGTTCCAGTATCAGGATCAGCTGTCTAAACACAAAGAAAGCGATTAACTCTAGGAAGCACAACCTGCTTCCATTTTAGCAACTGTTAAACATAAGGAAGGATCACTTGGAGCCTTGAAAATACCACAGTTACTACAAAGCAGTTGAACAGTTTGTTCATCTCTCTAAAGGTGCACACATGTATCAAAGAGACACATGCTTTAACCCAGCAAGTCCAAGAGAAACCTTTATCCCAACTAGAGGTACCCATGAATCAAAAATATCCCAAATAATAACAAAAGCTACAAACAGAAGTACAATGAGAAATTTCTTTGCAACTTCAGACCAATAACCTGTGTATTCTTGCAAAGCAAAAATGGAAGATGTACTTTGGTGTAGAAATTTCCATTTCAGGACAAGTTTTATATCTCAGAACTGCAGAGAGCTCATTCTAGTCACAGCCCTGCCCATGGTACCAGCAGCCATGCACAAACACAAACTGCTAAGTGACAGCTCTCCACTAAATGTCAGGGACCTGCTGTGCAACAGCGTCGCAACTCAGTGAGAGTCCCCTCTGCCAAACTAGGGAGTGAATCCTCCACAGCCCAAACAAAAGGTCAGATTTTAGCTGCAAACTATTCCTATGAATAATAGTCGGGTTCTTCAAATATCAAGAAGGCTTGCAGAAAAAGAACTGTGGTATGTTACTCTATCTCCATTATACACCCAGTCATATGGAAATACCAAATCAGTAAACTAGTTTGTAAGAAATGTTTTCTCTTTCATGCTTGTTAGAAAGATGTCTTTCATACAATCATTTAGGTCGGAAAAGACCTTTAACATCATGGACTTTGCACGTAAATTTCACTGATTTTTACAAGACAGTCTAGAACTGAATAAAATCTGAAACCTATCAGACTGTCATATTTCATAAGCTGCAAGTGAACCAGATCTCCATTTTGGCATAACCAAATTTAAGCTCCATTCAGGCCTGATGACAACACAACTTGACAATCTCCACCCCCCACTAAAAAAAAAAAAAATCCTCCAAAATAAAAAATAAACCAAATACCAACAGTCAGTAGTTTTGAAGCTCAGTTCCTTAACAGACTGGTTGGTATTTCAGCTCCTAACTATGGTGTGATCATTTCTGAATGTAATTCTCTATTTCAGAGTTAGTAATGTAGAATAAAAATCTGAAATTAACAAAATGACATACTCTGCCAGCTCGTAACGAAACCTCCAGTTCCTGCTGTTGTCAGTCACCACAAATTCTTGAAGTTGATAAAGATATTCCCGCCTTTTGTCTGCATGAAGTAACTAAAGGAGAAGCATGACTCGTAAAACTGATGCAATTCAATACTTGCAGTTCTCTGGTGTATTGCTCCATTCACACATTTAATATGCATTTTCGTACTTGAAAGGAAGTGATCATTCATAAGATGCTTACTAAAAACTGTGCAGTCAGCTGACTGCCTAGACACACAAGCCTGACATCCAAAAAAATACATCAAGCCATCATTTCTGCAAGGATACTCAAAGCACCACCTCTGGACAGAAGACTGAGCAACCAAAAAACTACGGATTCGTGTTTATTACACAGCAGCCCACCATGAGCTGCTCTTTTTTCTCCTAGCATCAAACACAAATCACTACTGGTCCAACTTTCCAGCTGGACTGCACAAAATACTAATTCTCTTACAATAGCTAGGAGCATTTATAACCGTGTTTACAAAGGGTTTTCAGTTTTGGTATTTTGTTGGGATATGAGACAGTGAGATACCTTAAAAAAGCAACACACACAAGATTGCCATACTGCACAAAGCTAAACAAGTAATTAGATCTGGATATTTTACATCTCAAAAAACTCTTAATATAATAAGACTCTGGAAAAAAAATTTCTTAAGAAATTAAATTACATTTTCCTACCTTTAGAAAGTCATACAGATGTTTAAGAACACCAATGCGCACTTCATCCAGATCTTTCAGGAATCCATTGAAAACTGGCACCAGATCAGCAGCTGTTAGCTGATCTCCCAGAATAACTGCTAGTTCATGTATGGAGAAAGCTAGTGTCCTGCGTACCTTCCACTGCAACAGTTGAAGAAGTGAACTAGGTTAGGCATCATAACTAAAATAAAGAAGCTTTTGAACTACACCTGTTTGAGGACTGAGACAGCAGATGAGACAGATCTAGTTACAGCAGTAGAAAATGTTCATCATATTTATGAAGTCTGATTTACATCTAAAATTTTCTAATTTTAGTCCATATTTAAACACTTGTAAGAAAATATATACTGTTGTAACTTCAATGCAACGAAGTGGACAGGAAAGCTACTCAAAATTCTAACTTATCACTATTTTTTTTTTAATTATTTTTTTACCTGTACATCTGAGGCCAGTGTCTCATATGTATCCTTCAGGCAGTGCCAGTTCTGCCTGCCAAGCGTTAAGGCTACCCCAGGAAGACTATAGGCACAGTGTTTGGCTATTTCAGTATCAACAGTCTGGGCTCGAGCTGGGTCTGTCATTGACAGGTACTGGTCTAATAAGGGTTGAGGTATGATATCCTAGAGAGAGACAGTACATCAGCAACACACAATTGAAGATCTGAAAGAAAATACACCTGTTGTGCTCTAGCATTCTCTTGCTACCAACCAGCTGGCAGCAAAACACAAAAGGTAGCAAGATGCCCCTTTTGTGGACTAGCTTTATGAAGTGCAAATGAGCCCCCCAGTTATTTGTTCTCATTAGGCTAGAGCAGCCAACAATGAACAGTAATTACTACCTGATAAACAGATTGCATCAAAACAAACAGAAAACTTCTTTGCTGACAACAAACAGTAAATCCAGTGACAAAACAGGATAGCTGGTGCCTGCCTTGGCTACACAGACAGCAAAAGGTCCGACTTTTTCTAGATTTCCAATTTAAAACAGGGTTCTCCTCAAATGCCCAGAGCATTTCTTACATTCTGCATCTGATCAAGTGCAAAAGCTATCACTGTAACAAGGATAAGATGAACTGTATTCAGTACACCACTAAAGCAGGTAGATGCTATTCCCATCACCTGTAGTTTTGACTTGTCATCTTCCAATGGCGGATTCTTTTCTGTCTCTTTCTTTAAAAATACACTGGTTCCTCTGTGCTGTTCTTCTGAGTCCTGCAAAAGATCATATAGCTAGTGAAATGAATTAGACTTTCTGCTGTTTGGTATAGTTCAAAGCATCACTCTACAGAACAATGCAATTCAGGTACAGAACAGCCTTTTGCAGACAAAGCCTTGTACAGGCAAAGCCTTCTTTGGTGTGTTTATACAACTACAAAAAGACAACTGAGTTGTACACAAACATACACTATTAAGATCATCACAGCAACAAGAGGAACAGTAGTTAAATTCATTTCTATAAGACCAATCTAATTTAACACAAACTCAGCATTCATACAGATTATGGATGGCTACTTATGTACTCTTAAATACATTTTTATTCTTAAATTTAAATTATCTTAAACAAGACGATTTAGCAGTTGCTCCTTTCATAGACTCTTAGGGGCTGGAAGGGACCTCGAGAGATCATCTAGTCCAACCCCCCTGCCAGAGCAGGGTCACCTAGAGTACATCACACAGGAACTCATCCAGGTGGGTTTTGAATGTCTCCAGTGAGGGAGACTCCACAACCTCCCTGGGCAGTCTGTTCCAGTGCTCTGTCACTCTCATAGTAAAAAAATTTTTTCGGATATTCACCTTGAACTTCCTATGCTCCAATTTACACCCATTACCCCTTGTCCTATCACTGGTCATCACCGAGAAAAGCCTAACTCCGTCCCCCTGACACTCACCCCTTACATATTTGTACATACTACATTACATTACATATTACATATTTGTAATTTCCCCAAATATAAAAAAATTTTGAAGGAATTAAAAGACCAAACCAAAGTTCAAAAGTTCATACAGTATTTTACCTTTTTGTTCGTACAGGTTTTATGTGCAATTTTTTTTCATAGACAAGGAATCTTTCTTTACAGTTCACAATTTACTCCAGCAACATTAAATACTGTACAAACAATTGTTTTTACCCCTACCTATATATTATAATCAAGAAATAGTAACCAGGAACTGTGTTCCTGTCACCACCTGATTCAGCTTCCTGTTTGGAGATAAAACACTAATTTAAGACTCATTACAGGAAGAGGTAAGACCATACTCGCTCTATTTCATCTGACAAAAAACCAACAAAACTCTGCAAACCTTTAACTCTTAGGTAACCTGTGTGCAAACAGAAAAAATAGTCCTCAATAGCTTTTCTTTTTTCAACTAAAACAAGTGGCATGTGAGCTGTGGTGTAGTGATGTTCAAAGGCTTCAGATCAGGAGTGGGTCAACAATGTCAGAGATTGTGTGAACACACACTGTACTTAAGCAGGCAAGAATTCATTTCAGGCATGGAGCACAGTGCATACTTACTGTGCTTTTCAGTACACTGGTGGCAGACAGGCCACTGACATTATCCTGGAAGGCAGGGGATGAAAGTGTTTCCTCCTCCACCTGGTTGCAGGTAGCACTTGAAACAGCCACTTCATCTGAAATACTTTTGTTCTGAAGTTTGCCACTGCTTGCTTCTGTTTTTTTGGTCTCATAGTCACCAACAGAATCAAACTGAGCAGCTCTGAGAGCAGCAGACAGCACCTGGACCTGAGCTGTAAAAAGCAAAAGAAGACCATTTAGTCTCCCCTCTGCACTTAAAAGCACTGAACTTGTATTTAAGTTAAATCTCAAAAGATAAGAAGCAGTCCAGTCAAAGCTGCACAGAAATGGTATCTAGCCACCTAAATATGACAGGCTACCAGTTGGCTGACTACTGCCTACTACTACAGCAAGGAATCCAAATGATGCTTCAGTTCCTGCAAATATAACTTTGCATGCAGAGAAGGGATGAATAAATAGGCAGATGAAAACTGTTAATCCTCTAGAGTACTCCGGAGATTTAGTGGAACAAGAAAGGGAGTTGGCGATGGATGACAGACTTGTCAAGAAGGATTTGGCCCAGGAAACACATAAGCATTCCACTTATGGGATGGGCTGTTCTCACTTCAACAAATATCAGATTAACTCAGCTGACAGCAGGTAGCCCTGTCCCTACTGCACACTTAGTACTTAGCTACAATACTTAAAGACAGTTCTATCAAATTTCAACAAGCTTTTTTCCCTTTTATAGTTAGATCCAATTTATTTCATGCAAACAGGAGCCGGGAACATTTCCCCAGATGTTGTAGAAATAACTCAGGTCTTGTGAAAAAGGCTGTTTAATAACTGTGTACTATAATTTACTACACAAGGAAGTCTCGTCACTTTGTGAATACCAAGCCAATCAAAATGGGGTCAAGGGTTTCGTAAAGGCCAGAAGAACATCTGTTCATGGAAATTCTTATTTTACTGTTACAAAGTCTCACCTTGAACATCTGGATCATCCATGTGCTCCTGTAAGCTTTCTAGAACTTTTTTTATTTCACTACTAGCAACACAGTTATTACACGGCACAGAGCAGCTATCTTTGTGCTTTTCAGTCTTGAACTGAATCGACTCCAGATCCTGACTTATATCAGGCAGAGGAGGGCGCCAGTAGAGAAAAGTATTAAATACATCCTCAGCAGACTGTAGCTTTGAGTTCGTTCCAGGAAAACTGCTGTCCTTAGTGACTTCTGTGACACCAGCAGCAACTTTGTCACCCTGAGACAACCCAGGCACATCTTCTCCAGGATTGGTACAACAATCTGAACTTTCTTTCCGAGTATCTTTATTTAGGTTCTCAACTGAGAGCTTTGTATTAGCTTCAGCAGCAGTCTCCTCAGTTGTTGATTCTGGTTTGATTTCCATTGGTTGTTCTGAACTGGTAACAGATGCAAACAGTTATAGAAACAAAATAAAGTACTCTGTAACAACAGTTTTCAGTGAAATCATTCATAAAAGACAGCACCAACTACGAAACCTAAATTCTGCAGAGAAAATAAGAATTCATGTTACCACTACGCTTTAATCCACCAGGTCTCCCTTCATACTTTTTCTGGAACTATATTCTCAAGTTGAGATTTTTAGCTCTGAACAGCAACATTCTTCATTCTTCTCCCTTCTACTACCCTACATCTTTCCGTGAATTTTACCTGGACAACGTAGCATTTGTACCGGAGGACACTGAAATTAAGTTGTTGCTGGAATTCCTATCTTGCACCGACGGCCAGATACTCAGCGTCCCATCTTCTCGAATGTAAAGACCAGCACTGGAAGGGTTGGCAAAGGTAGAAATAAACGGGCCAAGAGACTGAAAAGCAGCCTGACGAACCTGTGGCAGTATAAAGGCAACAATCACAATTCATGCAAATACTGCACAGACAATGCTAAAAAACAAAAATTTGGTTCAATTTTTGGTTCAACTGGTTCTTACTGTAACAGCTTCATTTAATAATATAACCAATTATCAATTGACAAGTACGTGACACCTAAGCAAAGGCTATTAGAATATTTAGCATGTATGTATGATCATAGTAAGGAAATTTTTTTGTATACATTTGAAGGACACCACTATCTACTTCAACTAACACCTTTTCCACAAACAACCTACTCACAGAACCGTTTGCACTTACTAAAAACCTGCTGATAGAAACTGTTAAGTAGTAAGAGAGAAGAAAAATAAGACAGCATCTTGTTAGAGGAGATATAATTTTAGCAGATCAGGCTCTAATCTCAGCAAATTCAGAGAACTTTTACAGCATACTTGTGACTTGCCCTTTATTTGTGTATCTGACTGAGAATATGCACCAATTATTAGAGGGAGTTACTTACCCATCTGCAAGTGTCACTAATAAGACTAATAAACAGTGGGGATAATTTGCTTCTGCGAACTTCTGGGGATGTGGTGTAAGACACTGCCATAAAGCATTCAGCGCAAGCTTTTCTCATTCCCCAAACACTATCAGAACAGAGTTCAAAGAACTTGGGAATCTGCCAAAAATAAGCAAAACCAAGACTAATTAAAGACTAAACAAAGACTGCAGCAAGTTACTAAGAAGGTATTCGTTGGGAAACTGGAGACAGTGATAACTCAAGAGATAGTAAAATAAGAAACAGGAACAAGTTAAAAAACGATTTTTAATTTAATAAATTGGAAAAAAGTGTCTGAAATTTACCTATTTAGACTTTACGTACAACTACATGAACTAGGAAAGAATCAATAGAATTATTCATGGCCTTTTTTTCCTGAAACTATATGTTGAATGATCATTCTAGCTCAGGGGAAAAGAGTCAGTAATTCTAAAATGTGTGTGTACACATGCTATTAAAATTTTTAAAAAATTTTGCAAAACAAGAACTTCTATTTCTATTTCTATTCATTTCCAGTGTTGCAATATAATTGAAACCAAAGCCTGAGCCAAATAAATTTTAAAAAATGCATTCATATTGATAAATGTACAGACAATAACTCATTATTAAACCTTTTTAACTGAGAAATACAAGTCTTGTAAATGGATTTTTATTTTTACATACCAGCAATCTTTCTGTGGCTTCCTGACCAACAGCATTACAAATGTCACCAAAATTAGCTGCACAAATCTAAGAAATAAAAAAAAAAAAAACAAATAACTTTCTCGATCTTTCAAATACACTAGTTTTATTATCTACTTCACCATGCATTATTTATCCCACGTAACAACTGCACAAGTTCGACTACTCAAATTTCAGCCATGTAACTACACCCTGTAACATTAACTCATCCCAAAGAAAGACTCATTAGAATAAGCTTCCACTAGGCACATGCCTTTGAAACAACTAATAATGAAGGTTTCTGCATAAGGAGCATAATCTACCTTAGTAATCACTGAAAGAGACAATAAGCCTACTTAAAAGTTTAAATTACTTTGAACAGCAGCTGTCAAAACCAACGCAAACTAAAATATGATACAAGGGTCAGGACTTAGGTGTACTGGCAGAACTATCTTGGCTATGGCTGAGACTGGCTTAAGTGCTTTGCTGAAATCAAGGTCTCAAGCTAGTGCCACTTACAGTACATTACACATGCTATAATTAAAAGGGCCACTCCCTCATGTAGAAAAAAGATGGCACCAGAATTTGAAATTAAGATAGATCAGTTGTGTTGATATACAATTTATCTGTTCTACATGCTTATGCAGAAGGCTGTAACACAGCTGAAATTCCAACAAGTGCAGCTTATCTTAGGTACCCAGCCAAATCTTTGCATAACCCTTAAGACTACTCAAATATTTTAAATCTTCTTATGCTACAAGTTTCCTTTTGTACTCAACCATGAACTAAAATTCCTCCTTTCAGTAACACCAGAATTATGCATTTATTTATTCTTAAAGGCAGGACATCTCAAATATCTATTACTTTTGAATTTCTGGTTTGGGAGTAACATGGCAGAAATCAGGTAACTTGTTTGCATCCTATAAACCAACAGCTTAAAAAAAAAAAAGTGGTGTAAAACTATTACCAGTGCAAGATCAGTTTAACTGCTATACTCACAAAGGACAGTTATCCATCTCTTTACTGAACTACAGAAACTATAACCATGTCAATAAAGTAAAACTGCTCTTCCAGACTCTTTAAAAGTTCATCAGCTCAAGTTATGACTAAATTATTCAGGAAGGCATTTCAACAGCAACATATTAATTCATTTTTACATGGTTTAGGGTGGAAAAACACACAAACCTTTCGCACTTGAAACAATTTCCCATCACTGCACAGTTCACAGAAACGAGGAAGCAACATGTGCTCAACTGTTGTTCTGCTCAGCATAGAAGCCATTTTACAGATTATCTAAAAAAAATCAAGAAGGGGATGTGTAAGGAAAAAAACCAAAACAAAGCTTACAAGCATGGGCAAATATTCCTCCTAAAAATTACCTCTAAGAGCAAGAGAGCAACTAGCAGGAAATAGATTTAACTACTACAAATTATTTGGATTTTCATACAAGTTTTATGTGAAGCACAACCACAGTTTTTATTTAAAATCATTCTACACCACTGTGCCTGAACATAGTATTTCTGCATGTAATGAACTGCCTTTTTTTATCTGGTTAAATGGACCTCTATTAATAAATGCATTTTCAAGATGTTTTCCAATGTGGCATACACTGCTGTTTCGTACGGAGAACACAAAAGTTCCATTGCACTAGCCAGCACATAAAATCAATTTTTAAGCATAGTAGAAATATCTTAAGCTTAAGGATGCAAATAAGTCCATTGGCTTTAACAGGACTGTTCAGACACTTAAAAACAAACACAGTCCCAGCTCTTTAAAGGCTCAGACAACATGATGCAATAAAAGTTTGCCATACAGAAAAGGAAAAGTAAGACAAACTAGTTATATTCATAAGCTAATGCACACTTTACAGGAATCATTCTCAGAAACATTCAGTTAACATTGGATCATACTTAAAGTAAGTTAGTAATGTAATGTGCTCACAGATTCAGCTTTCTAAATTGTCTGAACTGTTCTGAATTTCCAAACTGTCAGTTTCAACTACCACTACAAACCATGTTTCTGCTGTGAAAATCAAGTGCTTTAGATTGTGCATTTCCCTTCAACTCCCACTTCTTAGGACAACTTGCTTTAATTCTTTTATTTGCAAGAGTAAAAAGGAAAGGGCTTCCATGCACCTTCCTACTCAACTGTTCTGCCCGCTCAAAAGTTGTCAGATTAGAAGAACTCCACTTTCTATTTTTATTTTTCAAAAATAACTGAGGCTTTCTACCTCAATAACTAACTAAAAGCAACCAGCTTCATTCATTCATTCACTTTTGCCTTCTTAACAGCATGGTAAATAAGACCTAAGGAAGACACTGTTCAAGGACTTTTCTACAAATTTTCAAACTTTTAAAAGGCATCTGGTGCTCAGATGTCACCCTGGAAAACTGCCTAAGCAATATTCAACTCACAAACAAGGAAGAGGAAAATCTAGCAGCTAAAGCTATTTTACACATCAAGTATCAGATATCCATGTTGAAATGTAATTACACACCAGCATTTTCCTGTGGAGTCAGCCAATTTATTAAAAGTGAACAGGGAATTTTTTTTTTCAAACCCTTAAGAATTAAGATCATCATTCATGCTTTTGCACCATTACTGTGATGCACAGTAGAGTAAATGAAAACTCTTGGGGAACAATGAATTCTTATCTTTAAAATGCATTTGATTCTTGGCAGTCTTCTTTTAATTCTTGTTATCTGACTACTATTTCGACAATATTTTAGCATCCTGAAGTATAAAGATGGTCTCTTTAAACCTGATCTTTTAAAAAATTCAGAGTAAAAATTTAAAGATTTGGTGTGGTAAACTTAAAAATCAATATGTAATGAATAAACACCAAAGGTTTGATTGCTTGTTTTATTTATCAGCACTATTCCTGGACCTCATCTTCATTACTATTAATATTTCAGAAAGATTCCTTGAGTACTTCATTGACACAAAAGCCCAGACATCTTCATCACACAAAAGGTACAGGACCCAGAGAGAGCTTATGCAAAGTACCTCTGCACTTAGCCAAAGGCATTAATAAATAGTGCTCAGCACAACAATTCTCAGGACAAACTTGCTTTCTTCTTGAATTCAGTTAAGATAATTCTTGATGCACTTGTCATGCATCAAGTTCTGTCCCTGTTCAAATTCTTTGAAAATTCACTGTTTCAATGGTGCTCAATACTACAAATGTCTAAAAATGACTAAAAAACCTACAGCTCCAAGGTTTCACAGTTGAGCACACTTACACTTCAGCTGAGTCACAACAACAGGTTCTCAATTTGCAACAGGCAGACTAACAAATAGAGAAGAAATTAACCAAACTGAAATAGTAATGTTATAGGAAGTTTAAGTTCAATGACTAACGTAAAGCTTTCAGGATACTAAGAATGAAAGTACAGTTTTTATTTTCTGGTTTTATGCTCATGAAAATCTCACACAAAGTTGTTATATTTTTGAAAAGCTTTATAGTAGCAGTGCTGGAAGGCAGAGAACAAAAGCAACTAAAAAGGAAAAAAAAGATTTATTCAAAATTCACCTACATTCACAGCTTCCACCTTGTACTCATCATCACTGTCAGGAGCAGAGAGGTCCAGCAGAATTGGACACACCTTATTTTCAATGTCACTCTGAGCAACAAGGTCTTGTTCTAGTAGTATAAGCAGTGCTTCTTGACCTGCCTTTCTAACCTATTAATATGAACAAAACAAGAAAATTATGTCACTATAAGAACAGGATTTACTGATAAAAGAACTACAACAGGCATGTTGTCAACAAACACACAGGTCCAAGTTAAACAACAGAGAAAAATGTGCAGTATTAATATCATAAGGAATTAGTAACAAACTCTGAAGTTTAATGTAATCACTGCATGGCATTTAAACCAATTCTGAGGAGAAGCCAAAAGATGAATACAGGACTTGTAAGCCATAACTCCTGTAAAAGACTGTGTCAATACGATGCTAGGCAAATCCTGTTAAGTTTCCCATTACCTGCTAAGTATTAAAAAAAAAAAAATCAGACCTCCCTAGCAAAGTGTGCTGAAACCAACACAAAGCAACATAAAAGAACTAGCTATCAATTAACATGGAATTTCCCATTATCTCTTCCTCATACCTGAAATTCACTGCACCATATAGGATTTTTAAATTACTCCACTCCTGTAGTCGGTTTTTCCTACCTGATTGTTAACATCTGTGAGGTATCTCACTACTATGGGCATAAGGTACTCAAAGAATGCTGTTGGGAATTTTGGTCGACTTTCTTGCAGGAAAATGGCAATAGGAGGTATTTGTTCCATCAGTTCTGTACGTACAGTTGGTTCTAGCAATAAAACAAAAGTGAAAACTACATCAGTAAATACAAAATTAAGATCAATCACCATAAAAAAGTAGCTTTTTTTGTTCAAAGCAGAGGAAAATGAAAACACTCAAAGCATAAGAAAAACAACCACTGAAACTGCCCATTCTTAAAGGGAAGTTGAATAAAATAGAACAGCCTTACATACACCACTAGAGTTCAGAGACTTGGAATAAGTTCCCTAATAAATCAGATAAAATAAGTGCACTAGCTAGAAAACTCAATCACCACGATTACATACATACAAAGTATTAAAATACACAGCTGTTCTGTGCCACATACACATGTTCACATGTAATGAATTCCTTGAAAAATATTACGTCAGGCTTTCATTTATACACCTACCACACAAAATATGGAAAAAAAAAGAGGAAAAAACAAATCTTGATTTTATGGACAGACAGAGCTGGTAGATGCTTTAGTTTCTTTAGTTCACTCACTGCCTCCTCAAAACAGAAGAGTTAGAGCCTTCTATATTGCAGCTTATGTAAAATAAGTTACAAAAATTCAAAAATAAAACATTCAAACCTGCATCTTCAGAGAGCCTGACCACTATCTCCATTACAGTCAGGAAGTCCTCTTCATTATTACTGAAATCGCGAAAGACATCCAAAAGACCTCTGGCAATAATTTGCCTGTGGAGTGAACAACATATTAGTTGCCTAACCTCCTACCAACTGCACATAGATGGGATACCAGGGGAACTTACAAAATGTAAAGGGACACCTTGAAAAAGATCAAGCTCTTCTCTCAATATGAGACATACTAGTTATACAGTTTCCCAGTCTCCCGACAAAACAAAGATGTAATCAAGAGATCTCATTCAGACAACGAAGAATGAAAAATGTTACACTAATAAAATTAATATTAGGTATGTGCTTAAGTGAATAACAACAAAGTAGTGACACCTTAACATCCACAATGCTACCAGACTCAGTCATCAAATGTAGCTGCTGTACCCTTACCTGTTAAATATATTATCACTGAAGGCATATTTTTCTAGACGAGCCAGTGGAGTTAAATTATCCTGCCCAGGAATATCCAGGAACGCTGTTATCCTCATGCTATCGCAGTCTGGTCCATAATCTTCAAATCCAACTTGAAAGACAGGAAGAGTAACCAAGAAAAAAAGAAAACCCAATCCAGGAGTCAGGAACAGATGTTACAGTGTAAAGTTCACTATAGTAGTAACTTATTTCTTTTTAGAGCTATTCTTCAAAGGAAAATTATCTGTACATCATTGAAAATGGCTTACAAAACAAAATCTTAAGTAATATCTAATGAAGTCAAGAGTAACACTTGCTTATGGATCACTAAATTCAACAGTTGAATTTTAGCTCATTTCAATTCTCATAAATCCTTAGCATTTAACACATCTTAACTTCACAATTTGCATGGACTAACCACATGCACTACGAGTTAAGAGGGCTCAGCTGAGCACACCACAAACCATTCAAAAGCAAAATCAGTCCCATTAAAAGAAACTCGAATTTTAACAATGACAGAAAATCCCAAACAATATTGCCTTAAAACAGAAAATTCTCGGGTCTAGTAGAGTCACCAAGGTACAGTTTTTCTCACTGTAGTTACTGGGTCCCACACATCTATATCGGACTGGTAGGGAAGAACTTCAGCTTTACTTTGTTTGTTAACATACTGGGAGCTTCCTCTTGCAGACCTATCAACTACAGACTGTGCCATGCAAACTCTACTCTTTCCTAAAACCTTTGTATTTGCAGCTTGAGACTCTTAACCAACTATTACCATACCAAATGCTAAAATCTGCCCTACCAAGTCTTAAAGTAACATGCATTTGATTACATATTACAGGCAAAAAGGCTGTGAAGTGGAGAAGGAATAAGATAACTGTGCTGCCATTTCTTTTTTTCCTTCAGCCTTAAAACAAAGGCAGTGAGATAACCTGCCTGCAACACAAATTCTCTCATTTTAGCAATGGATATAGAAAGACATACAACAACCAAATCCACAGGAAGAGTTGCACTAGAGCACCTTATATTCCCATTCTGGATTCACAATTTTCCCAACAAAGCATTCCTAGAATTATGCACACTTTGTTCACATAAGTATCAACTGTGATCATACTTAATTACATGCAAACTGAGCCAATACTGCTTCTCATATGCAAACAGCAGTCTTTCAAACCAGCATATGTTCTGAGAGTGATAACCACTGAAGGCCAAAAAACAGTTTCTAACTTGGCAGGACACAGTATTAGGCATTTAGATCAGTAAAGAAAGCACAGAACTGGTAATAACTTGAAAGCACTAGCTAATTTTTTAATCTAGCCAACTGTTATATAATGAAGGATTTACTAGAACTTAAAAAAAAATCAATACACTTGCCATTAACTTTATGTAGTGTCCACTTGTTGAATTAAGAAAGTTTAAAAATGAAGGTTGTCATCAGTTCACTTCAAATATTTCAGAATTCCTACCCATTCAAGTGACAATGAAGTAAATCCAAATTCTACATTTGACTACAACACCTGGACTACCACTTGTACTACTTGGAGTAGTTTTATTATTCCTTAAATTAGCTAAGCCCACACCAGTGCTTCCAGGACCAGAGGGAAAATGGAGCAAACTACTTATGTTCAGGATCAAGAGAATTAAATTCCTGAATTTTTTTCCACACATTCAGTACACGTAAGGAACAGTTGTGGCAGAATCCATTTTGGCTTTTCTCAAAATACTCATTTTTTTTTCCATAAAATAAGAAGCTATAGGTGCTTACAAGTTTCAGACTACTAGAAAGTAAATTACAGAAAAGTAATTATATACTGTTTTTATCTAATGCCCTTTCACAAATAAATCAAACATTCAGTATTTTTTCTTCTAATATCATCAAAGAAGCAAGCTTGAAATCTCTCTATATAGAAACAAGAATAAACGTGACAGTATTCACAGCTGAAGTGGAGTTCACCATACCTGAGTTTGACCTAGACTGAAAAGCTGCTTAGAGCCTGCAAGAAACATCCACAGGGTCACAGGATCTAACTATGCAATTCAGCATCATTAGCAAGGTTCACTATCCACTTTTTCCAATACAAGGCAGTAAATACTAATACGGAGTGCAATGATTACATTAGCTCAAGGAGATAATTTTATCTCCTGCTGTTTTTAAAAGGAAAAACAAATCTGAAAATTCATTTTATTTATCATAAAAGGGCATAATCAAGCTAATTATTTTCCAGATTATCAAATAAATTGCCTTACAAAAATAAGTTTCAAACTGTAGTCAATGAATTTTGGTAGATTTTACTACAGTTTTTCCCCTAATTCAAAGGAATCCCCCAGACTCTCCATTTGTATCAATGAAACTGACCTTCAGTGTACATAACACTACTCTACCAATTTAGTTAAGAAAGTAAAAATTCAGTGCCAGTGATGCACTTTAGTGAGCTTATCCCAAAATGCATAATGAACTCTTTGCTAGACTTAGTCATGAACAACTCATGACATCTGAACTTTGCTGCAGCACAAGACAGCTTTCAATGCCATAAATCTAGTTGCACAGTCAAATTAATGAACTCAATCAAGGAATATTTTTAAATCACAGTAAGACATCAATAATGCTCTAAAATGTACATCCCTTTATCTACGTGCTCATCCTGAAATTTATAATTTCTTTTACACAAATTTTAAGTGACCTATATATAAAGTTTATTAACTACTGCTTATGGCAAAACTTTATCTGAATTAAGATATTGGGCATGGAAGGAAGGACAATTTCTAGCTTTTCAAATAGGTATTAAGGAAGGAGGATGCTTTTTAATTAATACTCACAGAGTTAGAATTAATCTGTATAAGAGAAATGTTAAAAATATTTTCAAATACACAAACATAAAACAAACCAAGAACTCCTGCATACACAATGAATCTCATTATTTATACATTACTTACATCACAAATGATCCCAACTTTCCTAAAACTTAATCAAAATACAAATATCATCTTTTTTCCTGCTACCTACTACTGAAATGCAGTAACCTCAAAGCCAGAAAGCAACAACATTTAAGAGCAGCAACAAAATCCCATGGAACAACCTCCTGCCTGCAGAGTTGATGCCTCTGCACATCTTTCCAGTGGAATACTTCAGACCTAACATTTCCCCTGGTGTCCCTTCTAAATTAGCTTGCTCATGCTACACTGCGGTAAGGGCATGGAAATCCATCTGTCACACATTTTCAAGTACTATTAAACAATACTAGTTTTGTGGTAAACTAACAGTCTCTCAGAAGAAACAAATGCAAGTTTCAGTGTTCACTTTTTAATAGAAAAATCAATCCAGCATCCAGGTTGCCAGTGAAACCACCCCACACAGAAAGCTTTCTAAAGCAATGCAAGTTCATGAAATTATTGGTCAAAGATTTACCTCCTTAAGTAACACCTCTTACCAAGGTGTCTGATGGTCATTAAACTCTAATCGTGTAAACCAGCTCGGGACTACACAGGCCTGAGGTGGAGCTGTTGCCTGGCCTAGGACACACGACACTGTATTTAACCTAAAACCACTGGATTGTATCAGCCAACTAGAGCACAACGGCGGTTTTTCTTTTGTTCCCGCTTCCGAGGTGTGCGGGCAGCCACGGCAGCACCATCCCGCTGAGCACCTATGCCACAGGTGCAGCAACAGCAAAATACCAGGCGCCCTCAGCAGCCTGCACAACATTGAAAAGTCTCTCCCGTTTGAGCTACCGCTGCTGGGAAATCCCTCGGCTACTCCAGGCTAATTTCCACCAGACAACAACAACGGAGCTAATTGCTTAAACCACTACCGGCAGGACCCATTTTTATTTCCTAGAGATTCTCGGCAACCCATTGTTGCAGGTGCTGCTCACACCGAATCCAACAATCCAGCGGCCGCCGGGAACAGCGAGCACGGTCCTTGGAAAGGCCGGGTTCCACATGCCGTCCCGGGGCTGCCTCCCGCCCGCGGGTCCTTCTTCCCTGCCTGGACAGCGGCTGCTCCCCCAAAACCGCGCTTCAAGAGGCTGCCGGTCCTTCGAGAGCTCGGCCCCTCAGGCAGCACCGAACGGCCTGTGGAACACGCCAGGTGAGGGGAGGGCCCGCAGCTTCCCTGTCAGCACCGCGCTGCTGCACACGTACAAACACGCTCTTAATTCGCGATCTCTAACGCCTACAAACCCTCACCTACCAATACAAACAGCCTCAAAACGCTCCCTTCACCTTAACGTGGATAAAAACACGGAGATGGAAAGAGAACGGCAGAACGAGCCCAGGGTGGGAGAATGGGGAAGGGCCTAAATAGGGAGCAGAAAAATAAAAAACAGTTACTCACAATCATCTAAGTCATCCTGCAAATCCACAAAATACAAAGGGATCCCTACAAACAAAAACAGAAGAGAAATACCGGGGGGTTGGTTTCGGAGAGCTGCGAGGAAGAGCAGCGGCAGCCCCGGCAGAGCCGCCCCGGCAGCCC